TTAATAAAAAGGTCAAACAGCTTCCCCAGCACGATTGCGGCCTTGAAATAGAAAGTGATTAAGAAAAAGTTAAATGCTACCGTAAACATCGTTAAGAAAATGCCTTGTTGAGTTGTCTCTTAAGTCACCTGGTAAATTACAACTTGACCCGTTGACCGGACTCGAAATCGCCCAAAAACTATAAATTTTTGTAACCCAAAATTCGAATGATTCGAACCCGATAATTCGTGATTTTTTCGATCAGGTTGGATGGGTTAGCGAGTCGACCCGTTAGACCCGTTCCATTTAATATATTACTCCCAAAATATGATAAATCAATCATAAATTCGTGAGATGTTTAAAAAAAATCAAAAAGGATTTGAATGACATGTTTGGAGTTTAAGGATAATCAAATATCATGTGTTTCTTGTAGTAGTATTACTCTTGTGATTGTTTTTTGACGATTTGCGCAATTTATATTACATTTCATTAGCGTGGGAGGATTTGAGAATATGTTAATTGACATGTGTGAGGTAAACTATTGTCATTCATATGTGAAAATTTGTGTTCTTTAAGAAAATATGAAGCATGTTTGATATTATTTCTGAGAACGCTCATAACCCGAAATGACCTATAACCCCACCCGAAACCGAATGGGTTGGATCAATATTTGATCCAAAATAAGCCAACCAAACATGACCCAACTCGTAACCAAAGTTTCCAACCCGAAATTATCCAACGGTGACCTCCGTAATTGGTATGGCAGCAAGTACATTCGGGTTTTAAATTGGGCTCAGGCTTAGCAAGGCCCATCTTCAGCGCCATCCACCAAGCATAAGCCCACATAAGACTATACTAGGCCTCAACGACTATACTTGTCGTGGGTATACAAAAATGATTTTTCATTCCATTAGGGTCGTTTACTTCATTGATTTTAAAATGATTGTTTTGCCTATTCTCGTGAATTATTAACCTAAAGATTTATTAGAGATTTGGAGTCCGAGCATGATGAATTAGAAGTAATATTTTGTTTGTTGAGTTGTTTTTATCGTGGATTTAAGAATATAAAATTTATAACTTAAAAAACTAATAAGATCTTATCACCCCATTATATTATATATAGGTTTTTTTTTACTCTCTGCCTCCTGTTTTTCATCTTTCCTTCTTTCCTCATCCTACCTCATTAAAGGCTTTTTGCACAAGTCCTCCCTAGTTGAATCCCCACCTGTAGAGGCAACGAGAAGGTAAGCGAGTTTTTCGATCAACCTCTTCTCATCAAGGTATCGTTCCAATTCTCCGTTGGAGGTCGACGATGATAGAACTCCAACTGAACCATCAACGTCCTTTACTCTTCATCGCAACTTCAATTTTCTAGCAGCTTATCCTTTCTGTCGTAGCTCTCTGGTGGAAGGAGTGAACAATGTGGGGAAATAAATTAATGGAATTTTTCCAGGAATAGCACCTTAATTTTTTTTTTACAAAAATAGCACCCATTCCGTAGAAATTATAAAAATAGCACCCTTTTTTAAAAACCGCACCCCCATGTGCGTTTTGCATGTAAACCGCACCCCCTGGTGCGTTTTGTCATTAAACCGCACCTTGGGGGTGCGTTTTACTTTTCTGGGCCAAAACCGCATCTTGGCCATGCGGTTTGCGGTCTGACCTAACCAAACCGCATGGCCCAGATGCGGTCTAGGCCTGACCTAGCAAAACCGCTTCTCCAAAACAAACCGCACCCTCTATTTTTTTTTACAAAAATAGCACCCATTCCGTAGAAATTATAAAAATAGCACCCTTTTTTAAAAACCGCACCCTCCAGGTGCGTTTTGCATGTAAACCGCACCCCCTGGTGCGTTTTGTCATTAAACCGCACCTTGGGGTGCGTTTTACTTTTCTGGGCCAAAACCGCATCTTGGCCATGCGGTTTGCAGTCTGACCTAACCAAACCGCATGGTCCATATGCGGTCTAGGCCTGACCTAGCAAACTGCACTTTGGGGGTGCGGTTTTGCTTCTCCAAAACAAACCGCACCCTCAAGGTGTGGTTTTGGCAACACAAACCGCACCCCACAATGCGGTTTGTGTGTCAATTATTTTCCGACACCAGACATGCAGCCATGCAGATTGACAGACGTGAGGCTGCATGGAAGATGAAAAACGCACCTCTAAGGTGCGGTTTTTATTGATGATTTTGCCTTTAAAAGGCAGCCCGGGAAATCTTCTTCTCTTCACACCTCTCCTTCTCCCTTTTCAATTTTCTATTGTAGCTCCCTATTTCTCTAGGGGTCGTTTGGATGAGTTATGAATTAGGATGTGGTATTTGTGAACAAATAACTCATTTTTTATCAATTGGGCATTTGTGTGGTATTGAAGTGTTATTTGTGTTAAAATATCTTGTTTGGCTGGAAGAGTTATTTGGAGTGTCTTATTCAACAACATAAACTTAAATTACAAATATATCCTTGTCCCTACCATTCTTTTCAACCGACAAACAACAACCATGAATGCCAATTGCCAAGAACAAGACCATTATCCTTCCTTGCATGACTTTTTTTCAACAGAAACACAATAGTCATGGATGCCAGGACCTCTTTACGCAAGAATAGAAATCGAAGAGACAAATATAAGCCACATTCAATTATCATAAGAAGGCAATCAATCCATAAGAACAAGACAGTGAAAATTGGGGGAAGATACAACAAAATCAATTCCCAGCAAACATAAGCCGCCGACCCGCCATCATCATTGTTCGTTGCCTCCGTCGCTATCAGAACAGAGCAGACCCAGATGGCGGTTCTCTATTGCTTTTCCCGGTGCTTCAACGTTGCTTCTCCCCTTCTCCTTCGATGGCGCTCTAGACGCAGAAATCGAATCCCCCACAAATCTGAAGTACCCGTCTACGAGAATTCAGTCGCCAAGAGCCCAGAAACAACAAACTCGAAACCTCCACAAATCTGAAACCTCAACCATGGCGGATTCTCTCCTAAGTCTCTCTCTACTAAACCAATCGTGGGGTTCAGAGGTTCAATTGAAGTAGAAAAAATCAACAATTTTTTATTTAATGAAAGCAAGCAACAAATCAAAGAGAGAAAGAGGAGAGTTCGCTGGGAAATATGAAAGGGGATCTGCCAATGGAAATGAAGAAAGAGCGAGGAGAGAGGAGCATAAAAGAGGGGGGAAAAGAAAGAGATGAAAGAGGCAGGGTCAGAAAGGGGAACAAAAAACGCGTTATGCATTATTTCTAAATAACTGGGGGGTTGGGTGGTATTGATAATAACGCATTTTGCGTTATTTGAGAATAACTCTGGGCCCAAATAACTCATCTCAGTTTTGTGGAGCCAAACGGATTATTTGGGTTCAAATAACTCATTGTGAGTTATTTAGACCCAAATAACTCATCTAAAAAACTCATCCAAACGACCCCCTAGTGTTTTTGCGGTTAACGTTAACTCGTAAGTTTATTTTGTATTACTTTTTATTGTGAATTGTGAATTGTGATTTTTATGATATTAGTTGAACTATTGTTTTTTTGCATATGGCATTCCAAAAGTTCATGCTTGGTTTACGGTGGAATGGTTACATGGAAGAGAGCGGAAAGGGGGTCACCTACGTCGGTGGCAATTTTCAGAAAATAAAGGTCGCTACCAGACCGATGCTTGAAGACCTCTATCAAATGTGTACTAACGTTACTTGCATGGATGGCACGAGAAGAGTTGATCGTATGGTGTACCGATATCCAAACAGAGACGGTGGATCGTTGTGGCACGAGGAATATCTCATAACCACTCAGGATGAGGTAGATGCCATGCTCGAATTCTTGAGGTCCAACAATCTCTCCAGAGCCGAGATGTTCGTTTACACCATGCCGGTCGTAGGCGTTGGAGGTCATTCTGGAGACGGTCAAACATCTGGTATCCATGGTAGAGGTGAACTATATGGAGATCATCCCTACCAAAGTTACCATGATCCTCATTCCTATTTTCAGTACCAAGAGCAAGGTGAAGGTCATCATCAATCTTACCCGTCATATGAAGAAGAAGTTCAACCGGACTATGCCAACCAACCCCAGTACAACTTCCAATCAGGCAGTGGTAGTTTTCACAATTACCATTATGGAGCTGATGAAGGTGCCTTTCATGAGCTGGATCAGATGGAAGATGCCCTACCAGCACCAGTCAGTGACCCCTCCTATGAAGAAGGAGAGAACAACGTCAGTGCAGACAGCTCCGACCCTCTTGAAGGTGCTGATGATTCAGGACCAGAGTCAGACTCAAATAATGATGATGAGGTGGCTCATGACCGTGTACCAGTCCCCTACTACAATCACATTCCAGACGGCAATTGGATGGTCGACAGTGACATGGAACCGCCGGAGGTTCCAATATGGGGTCCACTCACTGGGTTTATGAAGGGCCAACAATTTGGCTCGAAGAAGGAGGTGCGGCACGCCATTGATACTGAAGCAATGACTCGACATTTTGAATGGCACACAACTCATTCCAACACGAAAAGGCTCATAGTCAGATGCCGTAATCATAACGAGGGATGTAATGTTAGGATTCGGCCCATCAACAGCAAGAGACACGACCATTGGGTCATATCCCGTGTGGTGAACACACACACATGTGTGTCATCCATAACATCCCAAGGCCATCGACAGTTGAAATCCAGGGTGGTTGCTGCGGCTATCAAGCATGTAATTGAGCAAGATCCTGACCTGAAGGTGAAAGTCATAATCGCTGACATTGCAAGTCGTTATGGTTATATGATTAACTATAAGAAGGCGTGGCATGAAAAGCAGAAAGCTCTGGTCGCGGTATATGGTGATTGGGAAGAATCATATGCATTCCTTCCCAGGTTGATTTTGGCACTGGAGGCGTCTAACCCTGGCACTGTTTTCTCCCCTCGATACCAAGATGAAGAGGTACAACTGCCAGAGCCAGGTAACAAACGCCATTTCAGACGACTTTTTTGGGCATTCAAGCCATCTATTGATGGTTTTGGCTTTTGTGTCCCTGTGATCCAAGTGGATGGTACATTCCTTACCGGCAAGTACAAGGGCACTCTACTGATTGACAGTGGGGTGGATGCAAACAAACAAGTCTTTCCGTTAGCCTTCGCCATTGTTGAGGGAGAGAATACTGATAGCTATGGATGGTTTTTCCGGCAAATTCAGCTCCACGTCACTAGGAGGACGAACCTGACAATAATCTCTGATCGCCATGCCGGGATTAGAGCTGCCATCTTAGGTTTGGATCCAGCCTGGAAATGGTCCCAAAGGTGGTGCATATGACACTTCAAGAGCAACTGGAACCATCATTTCAAGCGGAAGAAGCTTGCTGATAATTTGTGGTGGATTGGTAAGCTCTCTATTGGTGCTTTAATTTTGGAGAAGAACAATATCTTATATCAAATAATGGTACACTTGTTAGACTCTTTCTAAAGAGATGCATGCCTAAGGAAATGGGGTTTTAAGTGATTATCATAGTCCTCCCATTCCGTGGGAAAATCGGGTTTTAAGCGATTCTCGGATCCCCCTTTTTCTGTCAAAAAGGCTGCGTTTCTAAGGAGATGTAAACCTCTCCTAAGAGTCTAACGAGAGTACCTGCTTGTTGTTTGAATTGTAATAAATTGCCGAATTTTTACTAACGTAATACTTGATTGTTATTACCTTAGCTGTTGCATACCAGGAGAAAAAATTATAGGAGAAGTTGCAGAAGATTCGCGAGTTATGCCCTGAGGGGGCACGGTGACTGGATGGACACGACCTATCCATGTGGACATTTCATAAAGACGGAGGTACAAGATGGGGTATGGCCAAAACGAATTCATCAGAGAATATCAATTCTGCCTATAAGGGTGTTCGGGCGCTGCCAATCTCTGCCATTGTGGAGATGACTTTCTGGAAAACGAATGGATGGTTCGTCAATCGACTACACTGGACAAGGATGAACGAGGCACAGGTAAAGGTCCATGCCAATAAAGTCACAGAAATACTGGAGCATGACAATCGGAAGAGTAGTCGACATAGTGTAATCGTTCTGAATCGGGCAACTGGCGAGTTTAGCATGACGACCGGACACCGTGAGGATGGTAGACGCGGGGGCCATCGTCATGAAGTTTTGGTAAATTTCAGGACAAAACTTGGTGAGTGCTCATGCCAGAAGTATCAGGGGAGAGGGTGGCCATGTTCTCATGCAATGGCTGTAATTAAAAACAGGAGCAAAGACCCCCGTCACTTCATCAGTCCATTCTTCAATATCGACTCACTCAAAAATTGCTATGGACGTAGTTTCCGTGCATTGCCTGATGAAGCTTACTGGCCGGTCTATTCTGGAAAGTTGATAATCCCGCCGTTCGGTCAGAGGCGTGAACCGGGTCGACCGAGGAAAAAGAGAATTCAAAACGAAATGGATCAAAGTGGAAGACCACCACAAGGCCCAAGACAATGTTCAGTATGCAGAGTTCCAGGGCATGATAAACGGAGTTGTCCAGGTCTAATTGGTCCGCAAAATCCGGGGCCTGATGTGGGGGAGTCAGCTAATGCGACATAGTTTGCGGTTTTCATTTGTTGGTACTTGTTATGTATGTTTTTAATTATTGTCAGAGTTAGAGCTATGATGCTTGGAAATTTTCAATTATGTATGTTTTCAATTAACACTCAAGTCTTAAGTTAACACGATCAAAATAGAGAAAGCCAAGAACTTTGAACTAAAATTAAAACTAAATCAACACTCAATTAAAGAAACTAAAATAGAAGGGTCTCAAGTACATATAATTAAAACATAACTAAAAACAACACTTAAAATGATAAAACTAAAAATCCATCTCAAGGAAGTCCCTGGGACTCATGGGGCTGCAATGTTTTCTGACTCCTTGTACGACGGCCGACGGGAGTGACCATCGGTGGTTCCGGTGGCAAGTTTCGATGGGTCGTGCTAGGGCGGTCGTCGGTGCTGTGTCAGCGTCGCTCCGTGGTATGCGGCGCTTCCGAGGTCGAGCGGGGGACATCAACGCTCATATGGTGAGGGGTAGGAGGCCACTGCTGATGTGGGCGAGGAATGGGATTAAAGTCGTGATGCGCAGTCGTGGAGGATCCATCATGCCAATTGCCAAGTACCCGAGGATGTGGGGGGTTCGTTGAAGAAGTTTGGGCGTGTATCATAGTATGGTGGGCGATGATCATAGTATGGTTGGCGGGGCTCGTGGTATGAGATCGGGTGGGGATCATATGGAGATTGATGGTAGCTCGGAGGGGTTGATGGTTGCTCGGGCGGGGATCATTATATGAGCTCGGTAATTGCTCATGATGGTAGGTCGGGCGGGGATCTTAGGAGTGGCTAGGGTGGGGATCTTGGGACAAGCTCGGGCGGGGATCTTGGGAGTGGGTCGGACGGGGATCTTGATGTGAGCTCGTCCGCCACCGTGTGCCACAACCAAGGGGGTCGACACTCTCCACGCCTCCAGCGTCTTTATCTCGGGCTCATGAGGTCTTTCCAGAACCTTCTTGCTTTTCTTTCTCTCGTATGGTGGTGGGGGATGGGGGACATCAACTTGTACCGGAGGTGGCACCGGTGCAGGCATGGGTGGGTATCTATGATGATCACGACCCTGTGCTCTGATACAGCCAAACAGACTGTTTGTCATCCTCCGAATGAAGCTCACATCTTCATGTCCCATTTCATGTTTCCCATGGGTCAACGCTTTGATCCGCTCGATCCCATCAACCTAAATCACAAAAGAAGGTTAGCAAGATAAGACTAATGATGTGACAGAATGAAATAAGCAATAAATTTAATCTTATTAAATGAAATATACTTATCAATGCACCATCTGCCGCACCCTCCGGAGTCACGTACCGAACCGATGTTTGCCGATATCTATCCATGTATGGGTCATGATACCCCATTCGACCCACACTTGTTGGAGTGACAATATCCTGAAGTTGTCGGTTGTCCCATACCTTGATCAATTCCGCCAACTTCGTGGGCCAATCATGAGTACCTTGCCGACCATCTCGGTGGTGAAATGCCCTTTGACTCTCGGGGACTTCCAACGGAATGCACTGCTCCCGACCAAACTGACGAAGGCATCGATCTGGCAGGTGCCACTCCACGGTCCCTAAACAAATGAGAGGGACCCTCGTGCACCATTGCCCGATATTTTCTGGGAATTGCTGTAAATGCAAATGAATGATGTTCACCGGGTATGGTTCGAATTTGATCTACAAAAAAAATTAGTAACTTAAGTTAAATCTGATTGGAAAAATACATGTCATCCATCCAAAAAAGTTTTAGCACTTAGAAGTTTTCTAGTTACCTCTCCTTCCCAAAGTCGCTCTAGCCTCCTCCGATACTCTACCAACTTGTGTTGGGCAAGGTTGTCGCATGTTGAGGCTCCAACCCACCTTATTAATAAGACGATAATAAAAATACACTCAATTAAAATAATCTAAAAAATAAGGAAAATTGTGTTATTAAAATCATGATGGGGTATGAGAAATTTACCTACAACCATAAGCTTCGAGTCTTAGGGGATGATCGGGACCCCAATTCCCGTCGAGACATTGGAGCGGTGCAATCCATGGCAGATGCTCCCAACCCCAGAACCGGACGATGAACATTGCGCCGCCGACCTCTCTCACAGCTTTGAGAGATGCGTTGCACAAATGGTGGTAGATATTAGCTAGGCAAGCGGATGCCCAGCTCAACTCCCCCATCGCATCCCAACTACCAAGGAGGATCCTAAGCCATCCACAGCTAATTAAATTGCTCGATTTTTTGGAGAAGAACACTCCTCCTATCATGCCTATGAGATAGACACGAGCATATCTTTCCTTCTCCAGCTCCGGACTTTCCTCGGTTAGGGGCACCCCATCTTTTTAGGATCGTGATGGTCCCTAAAATACTTCATCAATCAAGTGATTGATACTTGGCATTTCCTCAATGGTGGCAAGCGATCGGTCGCATCAACGCTCCCCTTGGTTGGTACTTTCACCCCCAAAACACTGTGGATGAAATACTGCCAACCGGTCATACCGTCACGATCCTCGGGGGGATGATCACTCACACACACCGCTTTGCCGTCGATAGGCAGATGAGTTAGGATGGCGACGTCCTTGAGTGTGATGGGGCACTCTCCTTCGCGAAAGTTGAAACAATGCGTCTCCTTTCTCCATCTCTCCACCAATGCGGCGATGAGTTCGCGATCGACTTTAATTCCTACAAAATGCATAATAGACTCCAACCGTGCCCTTTTGAGAGAGGGCAAGATAACTGGGTTCCATGGGAGCACATTGGTCGTACCGCTGTAGCGGAGTATTTGTTGTGCCTCCTAGCAAAAATTTCAACGTTATTTATGATATATTAGTAACAGTTTAGTCTTATAACTAAATAAATTAACATTATTGATTTAATTTCAACCATTATTAAAATTATTTATGATATATTAGTAATAGTTTAGTCTTATAACTAAATTAATTAAAATTAATGATTTAATTTCGAATATAATTCTATTATAATTATATTATTAACAATCAAATTTAAGTAATCTGCGGTTTTTTCTAAGAGATATATATATTATCATAAAACAAACATACTAAATTAATTGACATAAATAACATTCTAAATGAATAATAATTTAAAGAGATACATACATATTCAAATATTTGAAATTAATAAAATTCATTTAAGTACACATAAACATAAATCGTATTGGTTGTTTGGTAAGTAATTTAATCGTATTGGTTGTTTTAAATAATTTAATCGAATACAATGCAACACTCGTTAGACTCTTAGAAGAGGTATACATCTTCTTAGAAACACATCTTTTTTGACAGAAAAAGGGGGGATCCGAGGATCTCTTAATACCCGATTTTCCCAGGAAATTGGAGGATCATGATAATCGCTTAAAACCCCATTTCCTTAGACGTGCATCTCTTTATAAATAGTCGAAGTAAGTGGCGCTATGTATTCGATTAAATTATTGAAAATGACCAATACGATTAAATTATTTCAAATTTATTTTATATTCCACTAAGTACATTAGCAAAATAAAAGAAAGATAAATGATGAAGAATTGTATGTACCGGATGATCGTTCCAAACATCCCTTGAATGATGGTTGGGTTGGTCATACAAGTCGGTCGGATCAATAGGCCCTTGATCCAAATAGTACCGTTGATTGTATATATTCACGTCGTCCCAACCTACGAGAGAATAACAACAAGGTTAGTACATAGATTAATTAAAAAGCTTATAACAAAAAGAAAAATTGACCAAAATAATGAGTGCGTACCGCTTGAAATTCATCATAATAAACTCCCTCTCCTTGGAACCACTCGTCCATTTTCTCGCGAAAGTCGGACAGAAATTCGGCGGGTTTTGAGGGAAAAACCGAAGAAATGTTTTCTGATGGCAGATCGGACTTAGCCGCAACCATAGACCACTGTTTCCTAGACTTTTGGGAGGGGAGGGGTTAGAGAGATAATTCTAGAGAGAGAGAGAGAGTGGAGAATGATTGTGGTGTGAAAAAAATGAGAGGGGGGAGGGGGTATTTATACCCATCAGACCGCACCCTCCAGGGGCGGTCTGGTAATTTTGCCCCAGGTCAAACCGCACCCTACCAAGGCGGTTTACAATTCCCGAAGCTTGACCGCTCCTTGGCGTTGCGGTCTTCGATCCGTGGCAAGGATCGCTGAGGTGGCAAGCGGTCCGCCACTGGATCGCTTCCTCATCCTGCGGTCTCCAAGGCCGCTGCCCACCAAACACAGACCGCACCTTCAAGGTGCGGTTTCCAGTCTGACGTGGACTAAAACGCACCTCCAAGGTGCGGGGTGATAAAAATGGTGCTATTTTTGTAAATGTTGTGGGCTGGATGCTATTTTTATAATTTTTTTAATAGGTTCTATTATTGGAAAAATCCCTAAATTGATAGTGGGGGAATAAAATAAAAAGAGGGCAAACTTGGAATAGTAAAAATAATGGGGATATGTGTGTCATTTTACAGTTCACTTTTAGCCATTAGTCAAATCTCATGTTATCACGTGGGATTTATAAATCCGTGGGACCCACGGAGTTAGAGCAAAAAATAAACCCAAATTCGAGTTCCCCACAGATTTGTCTACAAATTTTTTGGCCAAGCAAAAAAAGGATTGTTACCAAATCTTGATAGTTAGGTTTTTTGGTACAAATTCTTGATACAAATCCAACAAGCAAACAACCATTAGTTCTACTTTTATAGCTAAATAAAGGGATATTTGATCAATAAATTTGAAAAAATTGTAAAACTGTACGAGAGGTTGTACTAGAAAATTTAATTGTAGGCTATTTTTGTGCTGAAATTGTGCTTTAATCATAGTTCAATGTTTCATACTGCTGAAAAACATTTACTAATTTAGACTCCGGTGGGAGTTTTTTCTGGTCGGCCTGCTGGTACACTACAATGTCACAAATACTCCTAATTTTGAGATTTTTATTTTGGGATGACACTAAAATTTCAATCTAATCAGTGTACAAGTGGATCAATGTAAT